TTATTTTGCGCTAGAAGTAATTCATATACCTTTTCATATTTATGGATCTCCTGAATACAAAAAAACTTCATCATAAATATCATTTTGTAAATGTCAAATCCAAAAATCATTTTAGGGCTCCGTGTCCTTCATTTAAAATTTTTATTTATTGCGTTTAAATAACTAATTCCATTTAAATATATAAAGCAATTTAATCTTAAAAAAAAATGAAGCAGTTAAAGCCAATTTTTTGTGAAAAATGGACAATCTTTTTTTTGAAAAATGGACAAACCTTTTTTTTTTTTTTTTTACATTTTAAGTTTACATTTGTCGTAATACAATACTTTAACAAATACAAACAAGTTTTCTGAAATTGTACTGAAGATTGTACTGATCTTATCATCAGAACCTTTTACAAGCATTTAGCATAATTATTTACAATGTATATAATCTATATATAAAATTAAAACAAAAAGGGTCGTTACATAAATTATATTTAACAATTAACAAAAAACGTATTTTACAATTAAAAAAGTTCTAAATGAAGGTACGTAATTACAATTAGAAGAACCTTATTATGTCATCGGAAAATAAAATAAAATTTTTGAGTTTATGTTTGAAAATTGGAAAAGTGTAAAACATATCAAAATTTGGCAAAACAACTTTATTCCAAAGATATGGCGCACGATAAGCAATACCATACTGGTTAAACTTTGTTCGACAAAAAGGTTTATGCAAAAATTTATTATTTCTAAGAGTGTATTTATTTATTGGTTATTCACAAAAGAGAACTTTAAAGATAGGTATGGATAAGTCATTTTTCCACAAATACATAAAGCATAAAGCATTAAACACATTAAGCTCGTAAATATTAAGAGTTTTGATTTCAATAAAAAAAGGTTTGGAATGAGTGTATCGATCCGCAAAATTAGTTAAACGGATCGCATGCTTCTGAAGGCGGTAAAGACATTGTAACTTGCTTTTTTCTGTGCTTCCCCAAGCAATATTTGCATAATTTAAATAGGTATGAATAAATGAGTAGTATAGTTGGGTTAAATCTTTTTTTACATAGATATGTTCTGGATTTATATAAAATTTCAATGCTTTTAGAAATTTTTGTGCTAATATAGTCATGTGATGTTTTCATCAAGAAAAACACCCAAAAACTTTGTGACATTGTGTCTTTTTATCACAGTATTATCAATAAAGATTTCTGGTAAATTTTGGGGTAAATAAGGTTTTTTTGCAATTGGATGGAAGAGAATCCATTTTGTTTTGTTACTGTTAAGAGTTAGCTTATTGCATTAAAACCATTTTGATATGTCTTTAAGTTCATCGTTTATACTAGAAAAGAGTTTGTAAATATCATTATTGGAAAGAAATAAGTTGATGTCATCAGCAAACATTATACTCATTAAATTTGAGGCTTTATTTAGGTCGTTTATATAAATCAAGAACAACAGTGGTCCCAAAATGGAACCTTGGGGAACGCCACATGAAACATTTAGGAACTCATTTGGATAACAACTATTACTAAAAACAAATTGTATACGGTTAGATAAATAACTTCGGAACCATTTTATAACTTTTAGTTTATTCCATAGTATTTCAGTTTTTTTATCAAATTTTCATGATCTACAGTATCGAACGCCTTCGATAGGTCGATAAAAACACCTAATATAAATTTAGATTTTTCAAAAGAATTTGAAATTTCACGTATAAGTCGGATAATTGCATGTTCCGTCGATTTTTTTTAAAACCAAACTGGTTGGCGTATAACAAATTATTAGAAAGGAGATAATTGCATAATCTATATACATAATGCGTTCTTGTATTTTTGAGAATGTACAGAGGCCGGAGATAGGACGATAATTACTGATATTTGTTTGATCTCCCTCTTTTAAAATTGGGGTAATTTTAGCAATTTTTAATTGATCCGGAAAAACTCCTTGGTGGATAGATGCTCTATAAACCTTAAAAAGTATATCTTTTATTGATATAACTATATTACCGTTTATGTCATCTGCTCGGCTTGCTTTGTATTTTTTAAGAGATTTGAATGTTTTTTCGAATTCATGAAAAGTTAGCTCAGAATTTAATTCGTTGGAACTAATGCAACTATCCATCTGTACTAGAAAATCGTTAAATGTTGCTTTGGTATAAGGAATTTTATTTCCTAGTTTAGGACCGATGTCAGTGAAAAATTTATTAAACTCATGAGCCTTTGATTCGCATATGCGTTTGTTATCCACTATAACCATCAGGGGAAGAGAACCTGAGCATTTTTTTTGTCTGCCAGTAATTTCGTTCATTATTTACCAATTGCGTTTTAAGTTATTTTTGAATTTATCTAGGAGTCTTATGTAATAATTTTTTTTCAAGTTTTTACGAACTTTTTCAAAGAGATATTTTTAATTTTTATATATTTTCTCATTATCTGATGATTTTATTTTAAGATATTTTATATAAAGCTTCTGTTTAATCTTGGATAATTTTTTAAACCCTTTTGTTATCCAAGGGTTATTTTTATTTTTTAGAGTTATTGTCTTTTCAATAATAGGAAAGTTTGCGTCATAAACGGAGTAAAAGGTTTCAAAAAAGTTATCATAAATTTTGTCTGCATTGTCATTGAAGTTAATATGCTTCCAGTGCAGTAACGATAGTTGGTTTTTAAACAACTTTATATTTGTATGGTTAAAAATGCGGATTTTAATTTTGTTTATTTTATTTATTGTCAAAAATATTGGAAATGGTCAGTTATATCAGATTTTAGGATACCTGTTTGTTGAATATATCTGTTGTAATAATATTATCAATCAAAGACGCCGAGTTTTTTGGTTACTCTAGTTGACCTGTTTATTAAAGAAATTGCTCCCGTTTCAAAAAAGTAGTCGTAAAAGTTTTTAATTTAGTTATCTTCATTATAAAGAAAACAATTCATATTTAGGTCTCCAATAATGAAGTTCTTTTTGTTTTCTTTAATACCTTTTTTGAAAATAATTTGTTCAAAAAAAATGCTCAAGTTCTCGCTCATGCCGTCAGGTGGGCGATAACAACAGCTTAATAATATGTTTTTAGATTGATTATTCATAATTTCAATAGTTACCGCTATCAGAAGCACTTAAATCATTCCTAACGTAATAAACAATATTTTCATTCACTTATATAAGGAATCCTCCGCTGCGTTTATTTACTTGTCTTTTAAACGATATTAATTTAAAATGAGGAATATAAAAGTTCGAAGTATTATCTATGTTATTTGAAATCCAGGTTTCAGTTAAACAAACTTGTTAAAACGATTTTTTGTTTCCTCTAACAAGTTTAAAAGTTTTTCAAAACTGTTAAAACTTCGAATGTTAACGTGTAGTATCATAATTTTTTTCTAAACATTTGTCATAAACATTTTTAAAAATAAACCCTTCTAAATCGCTTGGAAAGTGATATGAGCAATCCCTAAGCGTATTCGTAGGAATAGTTTATATCGGGGTCTATATTTACATCATTTATTTCATTAAAGTTAAAACGCATGGATTCAAAGTCACTGATTCCAGTCATGCTTTTTTTTAAATATATTTTTATTTGAGCATTTACTTTTAGAAAGGCTTCTTTTTAGGACTTAAAGTTAGGGATGGGATTTTTAAATTCTCTACAAAAAATTTTACCATACTTGATAACGGCGTACATTCCTTCACCGCGTAGACGTTTGACTTCTTCCCATAATTTTTTGCGACTCTCGATATTTTTCTTTGCGAAATCTTCGTTGATAAATACACCAGTACCTTTCAAGTTTTTAACAGCGTTAAGAATCTTGTTCTTGTCTTGATAATTTAAAAGTTTCAGAACTATAGTTCTAGGTAATTTACTATCTTTTGTTTTGCCTACTCTATGTGCTCTTTCTACAACAACTTCGCTATTTATTTTTAGTTGGTTTTTGAAAAATCTTTAACTGTATCTTTGCATTCAGTCCAGGTTTCACCCGCTTTTTCTTTTACTCCATCTATTCGCAGATTGTTTCGTCGAGATATGTTTTCGAGATCGGTTGTTTTTTTGGTCAAAATATTTAGTTCGTTGTCATTACACTTTCTAATTTGTTTTATTTTATCTAAAAGGTTTGTTTCTTGGAAGTTTAATTTTGTTTTGACATCTTTCAGATCTTTTTCGATATATATAATGTTGGATTTATTATTTGTTACATATATTTCAATTTTCTCTATTCTTTCCGTTAATATTTTCAAGTTTGCACTCATCGACGCGAAGCTTTTTTCTTGTTCTTTCAACAACTTTTCTGTTTCTTGTAATATACATATTTTTTGTTCCTCCAACTTCTTGATAATTAATTTTTCTATACTTTTAAATGAGGTTTCCATGTATAATTTAAAATTTAACACGCTGTAGAAAAAACGCGTTTGTTCGCTTCAACACGCTGCTTGAAAAAAAAAATCAAGTTTAAATATTCCAAAGCTTTTAGAACGATTAATCATCGGGAAAATCCTGTCGGTAAAACCAGAAAGCAACTTTTATAAAAGAGCTATTCACAAACCACTAGAGATATACTATAAGAGCCTTAATAATTAGTTAAGTCTCTAACAAAGTTATAAATTAAAGAAATTTAAAAGGGAATAAAAATCCGACCTCGAGTATCACTGGCTAAAAACGCACACACGAATTATATTTTTTATAGATTAAAAAATAAAAAGATGTATTAGCGACTTCAAACACTTATAATTTTATTTACTTATAAATATACTTTATCTACTTAAAAGTATGTCAAATAAGATAAATGAAATCAGAGATGAGAGGGAGATCAGGGAAATCAGAAAAATAGGGAGGACGAATAAACGTAACTGCTTTAAAAAAATTATTTTATTGCTTTAAAAACTGCTTTAAAAAAATTATTTTATAAATCTAAAAAAATTATTTTATTCAAATGTATATTAAAACTAACAAGTAAGACTAATATAGAGAAAATCGATTAATTTATCGGCTACTCTACTACAATAAAAAAAAAAAAATACGTTTATTATGCTATACAATTGCACAAATATTTCATACTAGTTTATTGAGTATAAGACTCTAATGTTTATAAATCCCCACATAGTATGTCAATTATAAACAGCGCTTGCCCCAACAATAGCATCTTCCACCATCCATGTTGTCGAACGAGCAACGTTGGGTGTTGTATACTCCGGCTGCCTTTGCTTCATTATCACGTCTCTGCCAATCGCCATTATAACAGTTTTCACCACAACCACAGTGTGGAGGGCCTACGCAGTAACATCGACCTCCCCATGTGTAGCTGCTTGAACAGCGCCAGTCATACATATTAAGTTTGTTGGCTACATCATCTCGGTGAGCCCAATCATTGTGCCAACACATTTTACCGCAGGTCGATATTTGTCCGATCAGTTTTTGTACACTTGAGCCAGCTAACAATCCAGCTTGGATAAGGTTTTGGATTTGGGATGCAGAAAGTGCTGCATTTGTTGTAGGCAAAAATAAACAGTTTAGGCTCAATAATATAAAAACCACTGATACAATCATTTTGAATTTCCTAAAAATTAATAAAACAGTCATGTTATTTAAAATTACTTTTCATATTAGCACTCTTAGGCTAAATGCTTCATTAAATATTCTTTTACACCAAACTTCTTAAATATGCAACTTAATTTTAATATTTTTATTTTTTGATTATTTTGACTAATTATTTATGCTCTGTAAAGTTTTTTCCTTCTTATCACTGAGAACCGTGGAATAGCATTTGGCCATAAAATCCGCGTTTTTTTACTTACCAATGTTGCATATATGTCTAGAGCCAGCTTCGGACAACGGACCTCCAGTTTTAAAGCCGGAACTTTAACCACCGCAACCCACTACAGCTGTTTTTCAAAACGTCTTGAGACGCTTTTTGAGAAGAACGCAATTAAAAAATAAATTATTCGATGAAACTCTTTGTATAACGATTTTGAAACAAAGAAATTTTATGAAGTTTTTAATAACTTTTTAAAAATATTTATTTGATAATATTTTGAGGCACCTAAATAAACTTATTTTGTAAAAATGTCAAATTTGATTTATTTATTCTAAAGGCGTTTTGAACAAATTTGAGAAAAAATCTTTAGCAGCTAATGTTGCAGAATCTTTTTAATGTAACTAGACAAGGTTTGCAAGGTTTATAATTTTGATCGTAATGACAAATCAAAAGTTATTGAAAATTTGCTTCGGTTCAAAGTGGTTCAATACTACTTTTTTAAATTTTTTTTTATTTAATAAAGTCTGTTTTATTTTTAAAAACAGAAACGTATTGCACATATAAAAGTAAAATATAAAACAGTAAAAAGAAATTCAATTTGTACTGCAATATTCATATTTTATTAGTTATGTTAATAAAAAATTAATATAATATTAGTATAAAAAAAAAACTGTTTATAAAGTTAACGGACTAAAATTTACAGATTAAAAATAAACAGCATAAAAAATAAATCAAATCCCAGACTTATTTAATAAAATATAAATCAGTATATGAAATAAATAAAAGTCTTTCAAGAAACAAGTCGAAATTCAACTTACCTCCAAAGCTGTAACCAATCAACTGAATCATTCCAATTTTTTTACGAAATTTTATAGGAAACTAAGAAAAACCGGTTTAAATTAGAGATCAAGTTTTTTAAATTTGTGAGCTTAGTATTCTTAGGTTCATTCTTTGTACTAATAGTAAAAGAAATTAAGCGAGTCTAATATCTTTTGTTAGTTGTTGTTCAAAATAATATACAGGAACCAGGCAATTTAAAAACACGTTTTGGGATTAACCAAGGTTGACAAAAAAAGGGATTGCGTAATTTGGTTTCAAACTTAAAATTTTAAACCTTTTTGGATTAACGTTATAAAAAAATTAGTAAAATAAAATCATTACTTAATACACTACTTAAATAATAATTAAAAAATTTTTAATTTCAAAAAGGTTTTAAAATAATGTATAAAACTAAAGGGATTTTAGACCCCCTTGAAGTATTTTTTTATAATTTCAGCATGATTTTTACAGCATTAGTTTCAGAGTCGTTAATTGTTTTTTTAATACTTTTTTTTATAGTTTTATGAATCATAACAGAAGTATTTTAAATGTTGAATTGCACATTCAGATTCCATTTACAATTTTTAATATAAGTAACAACTTTTTATACTAATATAAGGAAAATTTTAATTTCCATAACTAACAAAATAAAAAAAATAAACACCAAATTTCATCCGAGGATTTTTCTCTGCCGAAATTTAATTGATATATTTTGAAGGGCAGAAACTTAAAAAATATTTCTAGTCAAATAACATTTCGAAAAAATCACCCATAACATTCTAAGTAAATGTCAATCCATTCAATCATATTATGCCCTGCATCAAAGACTTGATTTTACACCTATGGAGCGGCCAGAAAAATTAAAAACTACAATTAATTTATATTAATATATGAACGGAACTTTTGAATTTATTATACTTTTAATAAACTTATTACCGCTTGTTATTTTTTCGCAAATGTTTTAAAATACTTATAAATATAATATTTATCGTAATATTTGTCATAATATTTTTTTTAATACATACAAAGAAAAAATTAACGAAAAAATAAACTTGTTACAAACCAATTAAAAATTATATTACAAATTATGACAAAATGAATTTCCTAATATTAAAATATTAACAATAATAGCAATAATAGCAATAATAATAATAATAATAATAATATAGTAAGTTAGATAAATTTATAATATAATGAGATGTTTGTTTATTTATAGAAGGATTTTCCCATTTAACATGAAGTACTTCTTTTATTTTTAATTTGTTAATGCTAGAGGCAGTACCCAAAATCTGAAAGCAATCATAATTAGTTAGTGTTTTACAAATAATGGATGAAATTAAATGTTTAAAGATATGCGATTGCTTGTTACTCGTAAGGTGCTCATTTATCCTTGTTGTCAAATGTCTGGAAGTTTCTCCAATATAACTGGCGTTACCTTGTTTTGGTAAATATGGAGATAATAAATCTGAAAGATGTTTAGCAAGTTTATAATTATAAATGCCAATTGTTAAAATAATTGGTCGTAAAATTTATCCAACAGGATAAATTTTATTGTAAATGTCTTTATAAAAGACATTTACAATAAATATTATCCTGTTGGTTCACAAACAGCAAGAATTTATGCTCTATCTAAGATGCACAAACTTAGTAAAGATTCTTCTCTACCATCTTTTCGACAAATTATTTTAACAATTAGCACATATAATTATAAACTTGCTAAACATCTTTCAGATTTATTATCTCCATATTTACCAAAACATTATACCACTTTTGAAACTATAAATATAGCAACATAATTGTTTTTTAAAGATGAAACTTGCTCAAAATACTTTTCTAAAACTCATTTTAAAAAATTACTTCAAATTTCTACGTTAGGTTCTCATTTCTTATTTAACGGAAAATTTTATGATCAATTAGATGGCGTTGCAATGGGTTATCCTTTAGCACCAATTTTAGCTAATATGTTTATCGGTTTTCATGAACAAATGTGAGTTAATAACTGCTCATCCTCCATACCAACTTTTTATAAACGTTAGGTGGATGACATAATAACAATTTCTAATTCAGAGTTTGAAGCGCAAGAATTCTTTAAACATCTCAATAAACAATTCAAAAACTTAAGTTTTATAATGGAAAACGAAAAAGACAACCAAATTCCATTTTTGGATGTTCTTATTAATAAGTCTAAATCACTCTCTACATCAGTTTATCACAAAAAAACAAGTTGGATTTTACTCAAATTTCACTAAAACTAAAATTGATAAAATTATTAAAAAGTGTTGTAAAAATGTAATAATCAAATTTATATTCACAACTGATAAATTAAAAAACAGTTTTTGCATAAAAGATCTACTTCCTAAGATGCTTAATCTAACGTTGTCTACATATTTTCTTGTGCTAGGTGTAATGCCAGTTATATTGGAGAAACCTCCAGGCATTTGACAACAAGGATAAATGAGCACCTTACGAGTGACAAGAAACATTTAAATTCATTTATTAATTGTAAAACAATTAATAAATGTTTTAAACATTTAAATTCATTTATTAATTGTAAAACACTAACTAACTATGATTGCTTTCAGATTTTGGATAATGCCTCTACCATTAACAAATTAAAAATAAAAGAAGCACTTCATATTAAATGGGAAAATCCTTCTTTAAATAAACAAACATCTCATTATATTATAAATATATCTATCTAACTTACTATATTATTATTACTAATATTTTAATATTAGGAAGTTTATTTTGTCATAATTTTTAACATGATTTTTAATTGGTTTGTAACAAGTTTATTTGTCCGTTTATTTTTTCTCTGTATATTGTCTTCAGTTTTTAAATTTATTTACCAGAGTTTTAATTGTAAATTAAATCTTTTGAAAATGTAATAAGACTACGAAAGATGTTAATAATAAAAAAATTGTGATTTTTGTTAAAATTTTTACAAATTTATTGCTAACGAGATGTTGAAATATATATATATATATATATATATATATATTATATATATATATATATATATATATATATATATATATATATATATATATATATATATATATATATTCATTAATAGTTTTCTTACCAAAATAAAAATAATTATATTCGTAAATATTTTTCTTGCTAAATAAAATTCTCATGATTTAAATTGTCTATCTGCAGAACGGCCCAAGTCCGAGTAAATTGATTTTGAGAAATCAAGAGAAACTTGACTAATTTTAGGAGCACTATAACAGAAACTTTTTTAATCCATTATTAAAACCAACATTGCTTTATCAGATCTCATATTTAAATAGATGATATGTTCAATTAGATAAATATCAATAGATTTTCAATAGATTTTAGCATTTATAATTTGAAATTGGAATTAAAAGTGTTAATTTCTGTGACTTTTTGCAGGTAGCAGTGTTGAACCCAAAATTTTTTGGAAAAAGCGTTTTTATTTTGCGACGGCTGGTTAGGGATGTTCTTGTTATAGCCCTGCCCTCCCTCTCGCGCCATGAAAACCGATGCCACGACAATGATTTTTAAATATAACTTTATTTGTGTTCACCTTCTTTTTTTCAATATTGTCCGAAATTAAATAGTATATCTTAACAATTGTTTGCTACTGTATAACTTTTACAACTCTATTACTGTTTGTTTTGTTTATTAAAGATCTTCGAGCCAAATTCGAAAATCAAACCAAGCTTTTTACTGATAGTATTGAGATCATTAACATCATGAAATGGGACCGAAACACCAATCTTTTTTAAACAGATATAAACAAAGCCGTTAGACATATACGCGCCGGAGAAAATCTAAAACCGTGCTACTAAAAAAGTTTTTTTATCAAACATAAAACCTCAGTGCATAAAAGAGCAATGCTAGGCCTCATAACGCAAAAAGAAAAAAAGAAAACAGGTGATTTAATCTAGTTTTTTAAAAACATGCACTAATTTACTAAAGAAACTTCTACGTATCACTAGATCGCATATCATCATCATCATCATCATCATCATCATCATCATCATCATCATCATCAAAGTATATTATGCGAGGTCATATTTAACAATTGGCACAGCAACGAGTACTGGACAGCATGAAAGAAGAGAAATTCTTTACAAACCGTATTGTGTCGCCATGCTGCAAACAATAATAAAAGTCAAACTCGGTTAACATAATTAAAAAACGTTTGAAAGAATATTTAAATTGGTAAAAGAAAAGTATATTACCATAATGTCTTTCAACATTATTTAACGCTATGG